ACGATACACTCAACTTCAACAATCGCGCTAAACAAACGCTATAACAACGAACATGCTCAATAATACTTCTGACTGCAGATCAAATACTCACTTTCTACACACACACATTACCTTCCTGCGTCACGTTGTCCCCCTCTTTTATATACCCGACTACCCTATATCTAGTAAATACTAGAGCATTCGCTAAAGTACAGGATAGTTCTAGAAACATGGCATCACAGTAGTCATGTGACTCGCTGATGCAACAATATATATTTCACACCTACAAAACTTTAACATTTTCTAAATTATACTTCATAACATTCTAAATCTAGTCAAGGTCATGTACTAAGTTTAGCCTAAGGTGTGACTTCTGCAACAGGGCCCAATCATGGTGACTATTTAATGTTTCAGAGAACAGTTTTATTGTATCCTATTTGACCCCGTGTATTAATGACTGTTTTACAACTGTCAAATAAAGCAGATACCTTGGATTCTTGTCTAAACGTTTCCTGATTAGTTAGCTCTACATAGAATGTGCACCGTGAAAGCAATTTGGTACTTTTATGGCAGTCTTGAAGTAACCTGCCAGTAAAGTTTTGTCTATTTTTAATTTTTTAGACGTTATTTGTGGTGATTATGTTAGTTATCCTTTCTTCATCTTTAAGTACAGTTTATTTTACTTTTCAACTAAAAATACCACAATTAAATAGTCTTTTTCAATAATAAGATCAGTATTTCTTTTGTCTAATTCAACAAATAAAATATTTACTGTGCTTCAGCTTCACATCAAAACTTGTCTGTTTTATTCTATCACTAAAAATCACCACTTCTGTCATTCCACATATTAGATTCTTTATTCTCCAGTTGTTGTGGAGATCAGGTGACTGTGTGCTAGCCTCGTCCTTGAATTATACAATCTGAAAGCTATAAAGTTCCATATCATCAATGAAAATGTAAACACACACACACACATAAAAAGTAAAATGTTTGTGTCATCCTCACTTCTCGTAATTCTGGAGATCCCCTCTTCAGTTCACCAGCCATCACCAAAACAGACTTCAATGCTCGAAGTCCAAAATCATAATGATGCTGTTTTGATAGCTGTTCCTTGGAAAGTTTGTACAGTACAGTCATCTTTTTGGCCAACATCTAAGTGTACACAATACATATGTCTAACTCAAAATTACAGAAATATGAATGAATAGTGAGATTATCTTAAAATTATATACTTAAGTTTCAAAGTAAATTGTACTTTTGAAAATTATTAACCTTACATGTAACAACTGACAATCCATCTTCGTAGATTAACAGTACTTAAAAATAACAATAAATTATGCAATCTTAATCATTATTATCATAAACCAGATATAAATTCAGCTTTAATTTTTAATTCATTGACTAGTGCATTGCTTAGTAAGTAATCTTCAAAAGAACCATAAAGTTGAAATATATATAGTGTACAAAAAAAAATAAAAAAAATACTAAATTTAAATTATGAAACATCTGGGGTACTCAGATGGTTACTGACTTTCTCTACTTTGACGTAAAGAGACCTCATTCTGACATAGTTTAAAACTGGAGTATTCAGGTGTTTACTGACTTTCTTCACTTTGGCCTAAAGAGACCTTGTTCTGACATAATTTAAAACTGGGGTACTCAGATGTTTACTGACTTTCTCCATTTATGGCCTAAAGAGACCTCATTCTGAAAATAGTTTAAAACTGGAGTATTCAGGTGTTTACTGACTTTCTTCACTTTGGCCTAAAGAGACCTTATTCTGACATAGTTTAAAACTGGGGTACTTAAATGTTTACTGACTTTCTCCATTTATGGCCTAAAGAGACCTTGTTCTGATATAGTGTAAAACTGGGGTACTCAGGTGTTTGCGGTATCAGTTTTGTTTCTCAGTGCAATCTTAAATGTATGTTATCTATTATAAGGCAAAAATCACTAACAGAATTTTCAAATAGTATGTACAGTAACCATACAAAAAAATAACATAAAAAGAAAAACAGATTTACATGTCTTTAACCAACACTGTTAAACTCAATATTAACAGCCATGAGTCCACATTAAGCTTAATATTAGTTATAAGTGTTCTTTGGCTCTAACCTTCACAGAGTAATGTTTCATGGGAAACTAATTAAAATTCACAATAACTTAACAATACTATACATTAATTTGAATAATTTTGAGGTACAAGGTAGGCTATAAACAATTCACTTATCAATTAAAATTTGTTTCAAAATATTCCCTAATTTTGAATATCAACAATAAAATAGAAATATATAATGGCTGAACATCGCAAATCAAGATTGAAAAATTAAATGTACAACAAAAACTAAAGAAATAAGAACACCTCATCAGAGGTTTTATGTGAATTGCATATGAAATATAAAGGAACCAAAACTAGATAATCAAAACAATAGGTTTTCCTTGAGCTTTTGAATGGAACAAGGGGTATATTAATGGGGTTCACAAACCCCTCCAACCACCATTATTAATGTTATTGTACATTTATTATCTTTGACGTAAGTTAATGTTAACTACGTTCATAGATGGCACCATGTCCTTACACCATAAAAAACTTTTATTAAATTTTCTACAAAACAACATATACACAATGTGGGGGGAAGGGCACACAAACATCTTATATATCTCAGAGAGTGCACTGGCACTCTCTATGGAGGACTGCAATGAAAAGAATGGGCTGCCACTATAGCAATAACACAAACTAAGTTGAAGTTTCTACTCCAACAGCCACCATAAGATTGATATGAAGGGCCGTTGCTTGAGTTATACCCACTTCCTATTTTGACATGTGAACTTTCAACTGTGGCCCATAAGACACTTCTGCAGCTAATGACTGTCAATTATTTAATCAAGTGAAACACTGTGAAAGGACATTAAGAGGTGGGTGTAAAAAGCAGGTAACAGAATGCACCTCTATCACCATTACTTTAGCTGCTACCTCTTCCTACAAAGTCACCTTGACCAGTGTGCATGTTTTAAGTATATATATATATATATATACACACACATATATATATATAGTTATTAAAGCTTATATAAAATTTTTGGTCAGGTGATAATGAATACTGTAATAATATGTTATGTTATAAATAAATTGTGTGAAAGTTAAGATTTTTGTTATTTATCACAGCATCCACCTACAAATTTTTTTAAGTTCATAACCAGGACAAAGGATGGGTACCTCAGCTTGTTTATAATAAAGCCTAAAAGGATATTCTGCAAATCAAGAAATTTTTACTTCGGCTTGAAGTTTTGTGAAATAAAAACTTTAAGTAATACTTTTTTACAAATGCATTTTACAAATTATTTGGACTACTGAATCGTTCAAATAAGTAGTTGAGTTTTAGATACAAACAGAATTAATGGGTAACCAGATCAATTGAACAAGGAAGACGTTGAACTTTTGAAATAGAGAAACATAATAATGATAACTTCCAATGAAGTTATAATAAAATGCTATAGTTTGTATACAACAGCAAATAGCCCACTTTTGAAAGAAAGTTTTACAGCATAAAACTTTTACTAACTGCTCAATGGAAAAACTAAAAACCAGAGGAGAAACAATAAACATTTAATATCCGTAACCCTTCTCTAAAGTTTTTCTTTAAGATGAACAATACATAAAACAATAAAACTCCATGTCAACTTTGTACCTAATGATATAAACTATACATATTACAGAAAACTTGTCATTAAGAGTAAAGTGTTTAAGATGTGAAATATCAAGAATGAAAAAGGTCAAAACTATGGGATATTCAAAACACAATTATATCTTTATAGATTAGGTACACATAAAGAATGAAAAGATCTAATGGAAAGACGGTGGAGGGCATCAGATCTTGTTTTCTGGTGTTTCTTCTATTGAAAGAAAGTCATTTTATCACAGTGTTGGCTGAATCAAAGACAAAATGAGGTGTAAAGCCGTCTTAATTATTTCAAACATTTTTCAAGTAGTTTTTCTATGTTCTGGTGTCCACAATTTGAGACAAAGAAATATTTATATATGCCATGCTCTGAATGGTTTCCAGATCTAATCAAGTATAAGAAAACCAAACAGGATATGGAGATTATATAATAACGTAAGAATAAATGTTTCACTGCAAATGTATTTTTCTTGTTATAATTAGTTGTACTTAACAAACACAGCAGCATATTCACTATTCTCAGTACTTACTTTAGCCAGCAAAAAGCCCTCAGAGAAAAGCATGATTTCACAGATTAGCTGGAGGTCAGGTACAATACAGACAACTGGACGAAACAAAGCCTTGACACTCTCAGGGAGCTCAGTTCTCCCCGCATACCCTGGATTCATGGTTATGAAGATACCAACTCTAGGGTCTAGGGATATTTCTTGGCCTTCAAACTGAAAATTTAAAATAAAGCAAGGATAGGAACACTTTGAAAATCAAGCAATATTTCATGAGCATGTAGACCATAACTAAACTTTGAGTCCCTTTTGTTTTTCAAATTGCATTGCTTGACGAGCTTACTGATCTGAGCACGTTTTGATTCTCATATGATTAAAAATATGAAATGATTTTTTATCAAAACAAGTAAATCAGGTTATGCACTGAGCTCTAAGAATAATAAACTATACATACATTTTCACTTATCTGTCTCAGATAGTAATTTTTAACTCGAATAAAAGTTGTTAAATAGCATGAAAATTCTTCAAATTAGAGATCATTGCTGTACTAACACTTAAATCAATTTATAAAGTGTTTTCCTCCTATGTGAGTTCACATTACCATTTGTTTAAAATGCATTGTTTATAATTTTCTTTGTGTGTACTTTAACTTGATTATGGGCCGTAGCAGTGATGAAAGTGCTGTAGACAGATTGGGATTTCTAATGCAGAACCTTGCTACAGAAGAGCAAACACCCTATCTTTTCAAATACATAAAATCAGTTTAAAGTTTTACAGCAAAAAGCTTTTACTAATCATTTAATGGAAATGCTAAGAACCCTAAATAGTCATAAATGGAAAAGATGCTTGTATACTACCAATATCATATACCTTTAAAGTTGAAGTGGAAGAAAAAACGTCAAAAATTACCCTATCAGTCATATATGTTTGTTTTCATAAACATATGTTTGAGAAGAACACCAACTTACGAATTTAATTCACTTCCATAGTCAAACAGATTTATAAACTCAAAAATAGTCACTTACATGGAATTTTTTGAGTTTCATGATAAGAGCATTTTGTATAGTCTTAAGCTGGGTAGAAATAACAGACAACACTGACACGTCTATGCGATTAAACTCATCAAAGCAGCCCCAGGCTCCACACTGGACAAGGCCAGAAAAGATTTTTCCCACAGCCTTGTAGTCCATACCTTCACCACAGTTGGTGACAACACACAGCAGACCCAAAGCTTTAGCTAGATCTTTGGTGGTTTCTGTCTTTCCTGTCCCTGCAGGTCCCGCAGGAGCTCCTCCTAGATACATGGAGAGTGCCTGAAAAGGAAGGAATGTAATAAAAGAATGTGCAAAGATGAAGAGTGTATACAGACATAATCAGTAATACCACTATCATAAAAACTTTATGTCACAGAAGTAAGCAGGTCAATTTAACAAGGAAAAAGCTGAGATTCTGAAATAGAAACACATAACAATAACTTCTAATTAAGTTATCATACAAAGTCAAAGTTGCTGAAAAGTACTACAACTAAGTAAACTTCTAAGGTGCAAAACTTATTTTAGTTTAACAGTTATGTTTTGATGGTTTAAAATATACCAACTAAATGATTTTATATTTTAAAAAATCAGACAAAATCAGAACCTCTTACTCAATCATCCATTTTCTTTCCACTTTATTATCAAGGAGTTTCTTACTTGAGTGATTGTCAGATAAATTCGATCAGTGAGAGGAGTAATCACCAATCGCCCATTCAACCCCATGTACTCATATCCATACTGAAACACTCCAGAACACTGGTGTACCATCAGTTCATCTGGGTCTTTCTTCCAGTAAAACCTCAACTGACTCTCCCATTCAAACTCCTGGGCATCCAGAATACTGCGAGTGAAAATTTCTTATTATAAAAAAAGTGTGCAAGACTAATCAACAAGAGTACGCAAAGGAGTTAAAATAAAAATGTAACAAGTTCTGAAGATTTGTTTTTTGTAAATATATCAAAAGAAAACTTGCTTCATCTTCTTAACCTCTTCACTGTCTTGTTGTGCTGAAAAGAAATTATTTCCTTTTTAGCTAATTTCAGGTTTTCATGTAAAGCTACAGAAACACAATCTGTGCATAGCTATCCCTAATTTTCAGCCAATAAATTAGAGGCAAAGGCTAGTGAGCAACTCCCACTGCTAACTCTTAAGAAACTGACAGTGAGATTTGACCTTCACTATTATAGCACATCTGTGACTCCAAAGGGTTACAAACCATTAACCCTTGGATTCACAGTCTAGGAATGCTAGCCATTAGATGATGCCTGGCTCTGCTTTTTTTTGGCATTTTACACCTGGGGAATCCTGAATGTTCACCCTTACAATAGGGGTTCCAGGCTGAAAAAGTCTGAGAACTCTTGACTTAAGGTGTTCAGCAAGAAATAATTAAAATCTAATACTTAAAAAAGAACAGGAACTGGGTGCAATGTGCAAATTGCAGGTTACTAACTAGTTCACCAACAATGAAATCTAAAATTTCTTCATACAGATAAGTAACTTCAAGCAAAACACATTTTTTACCTCTTGAAATTATTATGTGTTTGAGGAGTGAGATAAGAATGCACATAGAAGTACGAAAATAAGAGAATCCTGTACAATCCTTTGTGTACCATTTTGTTTGTGGGATGCCTGCTATGACCAGTGGTCTAGTAGTGACAATGAGCTGGTTGATGGATATACGCAAGATGTCATTCATTGACTAGTAACCTGACACTAAGTTTTTAAATCAATAAAATAAGACTATAGACAAGTCATGCATCAAAATATGTATTTGTGTATTTTTTGTCTTTTCCAAAAAATCAAAGTACTTCATGTTTACATCATGGTTTTAATTGATGCTAACACATGGCCATGATCTACAATAGGGAATGGGTTGTATATCATACTTGTTCAGCCAATGAGGTAATTGTAACATAGAGTAAAAATCAGAGAGAAAGCCTAAAATTTGTGGCTGTTTCATTATCTGCTCAGGACTTGGGATGCCACAGTGTTTTTAGCTAAACGTTTCACATGTTTGGACTTTCTATGTATTAAGCTAGAGTTGCCACATTGTCAAATTCTTCACATTGGCCCACTATAAAACCCTTTTATTGATGTGCAGAAGATTTTGTAATTTCTTTCAAAATCATTTCTTAGTTCTTTAATTTTACTTTCTTTTCTATCATTCCAGAATATTTTATCACTATTTCTTTTCTCCTTCACTGCACTGATGAGGCGTGAGTAATAGCTTATTTCAGAGATTAAGGATTTAAATTGCTATTAAAAGTTAAAAAAACACAATGCACTATCAGTTTGAACTTGCAGTGCATAGTATTCAAATTATATAAAAACAGGATGAATTAGAAGTAACTGGATAGAAACTAAATCTTCAGTTAGCTAAGCAAAATTTGAAAACATCTGATTTGGGTATTTCTTTCTTAATGGATGAAGAGTTCTTATGAAGTCTTCTTATTTGAGACTGATATAGGGTTCTTCTAGTCTTACAAGTAAAGTGATGATTGCCTGTATCTAGTATACAATAAAAATAAAATTTATTTCTACCAATCTCTATTCAAGTTTTTTCATTGTAGTTTATACCTACTTCTTTTCACTCCATCTCCCCACCCATGGATCAAGAAATTCAGTTAAACTGCATTTGAATTTGTTAATAGTTACTGTAATTATCAAGACATTTGCTTAGTAATATATTTAGCACAATATTAAAAGTGTTTACTTATTAATTAAAACCTTGTTCACCAAGTTAATGTCTTATACGTAGTGTATCATTTTTTACCTGTCTCGTACAAATCCATCAACAATATCCTTGGCATGAACATCTATAATGAGAACTGTGTTGAATTTCTTCCTGTCATTTTTAGATAGCTGCGATCTCACCTGCAAAATAAAAACTTTATGTTAAATATACAGAGGGTCATTTACATATTATGGAAATGCATAGAAATTAACTACCATTTTCCTGCAAATATCAGGAGATTACTAAAACTGGCCACATGATATATATATTTGTCCTGCATATAAAATCAAACTGTGCTGGGCAGGCTTGTAAAATTACTCCAAAACTTGACTGGTGACTGGTCCCATATAGCAAGATTGCTAAATGAGGTTGAGCCATAGGCCAAAAACATTTATAAGGGAATCTTCAAAGTTCTCCATGAAAAACTATTACAGCAAAGTGTTTAGAACATCAAAAGTCTTTAAAACCATTGCTCTAGCTAATCATGAGCAATGCCCTCATTTGTAAGGTGAAAACTATGGTTAAAAAACACAGCCCCTTAACAAGCCACTGTAATGGAGTTAAGCATTTCTTCTCATACCATTAACAAATCAACTAAAAAACGATTTGAATATGACAGAGGCTTAAAATTCAAAAGTTTACAAACCTTCAGACGTATAACAAAATTAATGATTGCTTTCATGAGTAAGAACAACCAAAGAAATCAGAATCACAGCAATCCCATTCAAAGCATGTAATTGTCAAGACTCCTGATGCAGCTCCAATGAATTTTTGTGTCTTTAATTTGCTTAATCATGCATTAAGAAGTCATAAACCTAAAACATTAACTCATTTATGGAAAGTATTACAAGGGATATGAGACAACACTGATCTCATGGAAATATTGATGCAAGGATAAAAGAATATATAGCATGAAAAACTGCTAAGAATAAGTCACTGAATAAGTTTAGAATAAAAAAACAGAGTCAGTGTATCAACTGTAGGCATCTAACCTGCCCACAGTTTGTTGGCAGAAGTGTACGCAAAAATGTAATTAAAAAGTAGTCTTGCAAGAGTTGGCAAACTAAATACTTATCAGTTTGTCAGGAAAAATAAAGAAGCCTTACCAAATTTGGCACTACAATGGATATACCCCCTGCACAGTTTAAATCAGTAGAACTTCTGATAACTTTTCTTTGTTACCCAACAACTGACTGAGAGCATGTAAATGATGTTCAGATTAGCATCTGGAATGATGCCTTGGAAGCTCATCCTTCTGTCCCTTCACCAATTGGTGGTGAGGACTGTATAATACTTATAAAGTTGGGAGTGTGGATCAAAATGAGTCTCACACTACAAAGGATTCATGTTTAGATACATATAATATGGCAAATATATTAAAAAAGGCTAGACATACATATAATGTGATGTTACCCATTGTTCTGAGGGAGTCCATTGGCTATTAGTCTTTTATTAGCATGATTATGTCAAATAATATAACTGGCTTCTATCGTAATGAATACAGGATTTAAAACTTTAGTGTAAATGCTTTACATGAGCACGAGTCTTCTTAATACTTTTTTTTCCAAACAAATTCTTCTTTATGACTAGAATTTATTTTTGTCTTTAAAGATAAATTGGTAATAATTTGTGTCAAATAAACCTTTGCATCACTAAAACTGGTTCTTGTCTTTGAAACAAAATTGTTAAAAACCTAGTTTATTAATCATTTTTACACTTAACCTCATCTTGAAAATTTAAGTAAATTTTTTGGATTCTCCAATTGTATAGAAATTCAGGGTTTGACATATATACATGTATATATAAATCTTGACCTTGCTAACACTTTTCAACACCACATGTTGTTGCTTTCTGTATTGGGAGGAGGGAGGTGTACTACATTGCAAAATATTTTGGCCTGGGTCCACCCACTAATACTACTACATGTACGAAAAAGAAAAAAAAAAGCTGTTGCTGTACCTTGAAGACGAGTTCATCAATTTGTGCATGGAGTTGTCGAGCATAGTCTTTCATAGCTGTTTTATTTCCTTTCTTGACTTTATCAAACACATATTCCACCTCTGCTGTCCACCAGACCTACCAAATAAGTAACAGATGTTGTTTTTAACAACTATATAAGATCAATATAACATAATTTAAATTCATAAGTCTCAGGTATATTATTTCTAGACTACAACTGTCTAACAATTTTCTGTGAGGACAGTATTTCAGTGACTAAGCAGAGGTGTTGCTGCATCTACATTGTATAAAAATCACACAAATGAAGGTAAAAATATTGTCCTCAAGGAAATTAACCAGGGAGTTGAACTCTTATGGAAGACTTCTCTGGTGTCTTTACAGCTTAAGTTCTTTACAAATTAATTTGAAAATGTATAGAACTAAATATGATATACTTTAAAACTTATTGCAAGGTTTGTTTGTTTGTTTGAAGTTAAGCACAAAGCTACACAATGGGCTATCTGTGCTCTACCCACCACAGGTATCGAAACCCGGTCTCTAGAGTTGTAAGTCTGCAGACATACCACTGTGCCACTGGGGGCCCTTATTGCAAGGAACAATTTACAAAAAGCAGATTGACGTATGCTACTACTTAACACCAAACTGAATAATGTATGTTTAGAAAAATACATCACCAACCCTAGCCAAATATAACCATTTACAGCAATAATAAACGCATATGGCAGAAAAGTTGTTTTAAACATTTTATAACATCAATGTCCACTAGTAGTTGCTGTTTACAACAATATATTTATTGAACACTTATTTTTAAGTATAAGAAACAATCTACCACAGTTCACAAACATGAAAGAAAAATGTGTTAACACATTTAAAAATCAGTCACTTATACATAACTTTAGGAACTGATTAGTTTCAATCTTTACTTCTTGTTTTTCTTCATTCACTTACACATTAATATTTATAGAAACATCCATAAAATGGTGTGATCACTTTTACATTCACTGTTTGAATTTATACAAGTTATAGTTTTTAAATAAGATTTTAACTATAACCTTACCTGGTTAGTTGCCAGACACACCATTCCCTGAAAGTCAAGCATCCAAGAGGTTCTTTGCTTCTCTGTCTTGCCATATTCATAAATAGCTTTTTTGGTAATAAACCTATTAGTAGCCCTCATTTCCTGAAGGACACCAGTCATCCATTCCTCGACACGACCAACAACCGGGACTGGTCGATGAAACGCCATCACTTCTCCCTCACTAGAAATCATGGCTGTTGCGGTAATGTCTTCGTCACCATGTGTCGTTTTCTCTTGCTCAAATTTCAGACTAGCTATGTTGTCAAACATCTGGTAAAACATTTAACATGAAAATTATTATTTTCTGTATTAGATCACACACTTGTTACTTTGGTAATTTTAAAGGTCATTCACTTTTGTATCCACATTAGCTTCAAAATTCTGTGTTATCAGGGATTAAGAAAAAATGAATGTCTTAATTGTCAGCTGAAAAACTTTTATATGAATAAAAATTATCATCATAGCTTTGAAGTCAAAAACACTGTTTGAATAATTGAAATTCACAATAGTACATAGGAAATCAAAAATGTTGGTAAGTCACATTAAAAACTGGTAATACTCTCGGACTTTTGACAGGTCTACCTGTCTTTACCCCTGATGAGGAGAGGTCATTTTTTTAAATGTCAGCAACTGAAATTCAAAGATATTCTTATGAGCTGACGTTTTGAATGGTTTTCAAGAGAAAAGTAATGTTAAAAGAGAGATGATTACGTTGTCATCGATCAGTCCTTGTTTTACATTACCTACCTTTATCACAAGTTCCTGCATATACATGTACTATTGATTAAAGAGAGGAGGTTGTCATACATCAGTATTTACTTTACAATACTTTTATCACAAGTTCCTGCACGTACATGTACTGACTGCTAAAAGAGAGGAGGTTAAGTTGTCATACATCAGTAATTGCTTTATTTAACCTTTACATCAATTGTTCCTGAATGCACATATACTAACTGCTAAAAGAGAGGAAGTTAAGAGGTTAAGTTGTCATAGTTTACATCACCTTTAGCAATTGTTCCTGTATGCATGTATAAAAGAGAGGAGGTTAAGTTTTCATAGATAAGTCTTTGCTTACATTACCTTTATCATATGTTCCTGCACACATGTGTACTGACTGCTACCTAAGATGGACAACAATTCTTCATCTGAAATAAAAAAGAACCGTGGGAAAGCATTTCGTTTTGAGTCAAGGTAATCATTTAGAGATTTCTGGCACAAGTCTAAGTTCTGGTTCAATTTCTGTAACTCCTCTAGTCTGCAAGGCATGTGGCATGACTCTTTGATGTTTGGTTTCTTAGCTGTATCTTGCATTATCTATTAAACCAAACACACTGTTGTAAGGAAGATATATAAGCTAGGTATTTGTTTAGATTTTAATATTATTGTTCAGATGAAAATTTTATTCCTTTTGAAACACCTTATCTTTATATTAACAATGATAGAAGAGTGATATTCTTGCATAAACCATTAACAGTACTATTCTGATTTATGTGCTACAACGAACTCTTAATATTATTATTAGTTTATTAAATAACACTGAGTAAAAGAAAGCAAAAGATCAGTTTATGAGAAATGTTTAAAGATATATGGCAAGGAATTCTGTAACTTCATAGTATCCTCCAAATACAGGAACTCTGAAAGTTATATATTTATACTCTAAACCCAATAGCCAACTGATCAAAAGTAACAGCAATACACATTTTTCAACATTTCATACACACTGTCTTTATTTTTGTTACACTTCATGCATGGGTTTCTAGAAGAAAACCAAAACATACTTAAAACAACACAAACATTTCATTAGTTACCAACATGAATAAGGAAGAATCAATCTAAACTTGCTTGAATACCAAATAACAAAATAATTACTTAAATTAAGTCTTATCACTATTGTTCTATCATATATTAGGACAAGACACACAGTAACCAACAGAAGAATTGAGTTTGATTAGACTTATGAAATCGCTCAAAAAACAACAACAACATTAAAACACTGTTAATAAATATCTGAAGGGTTTGTTTTGAATTTCGTGCAAAGCTACATGAGGGCTATCTGCACTAGTCGTCCCTAATTTAGCAGTGTAAGGCTAGAGAGAAGGCAGCCAGTCATCATCACTACCCACCGCCAACTCTTGGGCTAGTTTTATACCAACGAATAGTGGGATTGACCGTCACATTATAACACCCCCATGGTGAGCATGTTTGGTGTGACGGGGACTCGAATCCGCGATCCTCAGATTGCGAGTCGAGCACCCTAACCACATGGCCATGCCGGGCCCATATCTGAAGGGACTTCTACTTTTGGTACTAGTTAGCCAAATGCAAATGGAGCACTTAAAAATAACTGAAATTCTAGGATATATATATATATAGAGAGAGAGAGAGAGAGAAAGAACTCATTGGCTATATCACACTGCTTCTTTTAGCTTTTTAAAACAATATTTCAAATTTTTGTCTGAATATTCAGAGCCTGGTAGTTTCTTCTCTCCAAGATCTGCACACGGAAAATGATCAAACAGATTTAAGCAGACAAACACCTTTGAAAAAATTTTGTTGTTTGTTATTGAAACCTGATCAATAGTGTTAAAAGCCCTCAGACTTATCACTTATCCATCAAGGGGGGCACTTTAAAAAATGCTTGCAAAATATATATACATATATACTGGTACAAGCACATGGGAATAGCACAGAGCAAAAGTGTACATTAATGTAGACATATGTACATAATCACACAACTACTAGAAAGAAGATGGTATTTATGTATGCAAGGAAGAACAAACATTATGCAAGACAAGTTTTCCAGTATTAGCCAAGTGTGAAAATTTGGAAAAATACATGGTAACTGTAAAATAAAATTAATCTTATTGTTTGAAAATACAAATAACTAACACTTCTGAACTTTTTGTCTATGCTATCAAACTTTTTGGCTTCATCAGGTAACTGAGAGCAAATGTCCCCTCCAATAAAAATACTTTCCAGGTACATCCACTTCCTCTGAACTACCATCCAAACCTGTACATAAAAACAATCATTTTTAGACAGCAGATACTTAACATATATTTACAGTTATTCATGACCTGAAACTACACACTTTACTCAACCTTTAGTAGTAGTAGTATATATAATGCTACACCCATCTAGATCTGTAAATAGAAGTACTTTAATCATTACATTAGACAGGGATGTTTTGAGAAATTTGATTATACAGACACCTTTTTCAGACAGGAGTAAAATAACAAATTCTCACATTTTTCAAAAAATATGATGAGGTGGTTATAATACATATACAGAGCAATTTAGAGCTTCTGGTGCATCTGTATATACCATATGTTGTCAAAGCAGTATCTGAATTCTTAGGACTGTATATCACAGAAGAATTACCAGGTTTCTTGGTATTATATGTCACATAAGGATTATTTAACTTAATAAAAATATATGGCTAGTCTCATTCTTAGAACTTTGTAAAAAAATCTTTGTTTATTAAAAAAAAAGTGAGTTTCTTAAGATTGAGCACTTACACAAGTGCCAATGAATTTAAAAAATTTAATGACAGGTTAATAAATTTAATTTCAACTCACTGATAATTACAAAATAATTTAACATAAACTTTTGGTAATTATCATGGAAAATTACATTTAAAACGAAAAAAATAACAACAGCAAATATTTGTGACAAATGTAAATACACGTGTAAAATTTTATACACTTTGTATAGTTTCAAATTTAACAATACAAAAACGGACTATATCTACAAAGTGTTTTAATTAAATCAAACAGGTCCTTAGAAAAGTTGGTTTTAGGAGAACCAAACGATTATACTCTTTCAAGTGGAGCTTTTAGTTGGGAAAATTAAGGATTTAAAAAATAAAAACATAAGTAAAATGATACCAGCCCAAGACAACGTACTTAAAACACTGTAATATACTATGTCGATCAATGAACTATAGAAATTTGAAGCAGCCTCAAAGACAGCTTACCCTTTATCTGCACTAGCCTTTGAATCATGATATAAACTATTTTGTATAATAAGTCTGTTAGCTGTGTCTTTTCTTTCTGCAAATGTTTGACATTCGACTGCATATCCATTATAGCATAATTTTGTTATATTCCACATAAAATGAACACTGTAAATGTGTTAAAATAGTATAAGATGGAGTGGATGTTATAGTTATGAAAGTTTTCATATTCACAAACAGTTTTTTCTGAGCTTAAGTAAATGTTTAGATGATTTGATACAATTTAATTCCTTCAAGTAATCTTAATTAAATAAAATTTCTCATTCAAACCCCAATGAAACATTGATATATTAGGTGAAGAAAAACTAGAGGACAATTCTCACTTCAACCATTATTTCCTGCAACAGAAGCCTCCTGATCAGAGCAAACAAGAACCCACAAGAAACCATTGTTTGTTGATTGCTCTGAAGCTAATGTGATATTCATGGTCATCAAAACATGTTTACTTCAGGCAAACTGGAAATCAAAGTATAGATTTTAATATGGTGACAAAATACTGTATATCGAGTTAAGAGTATTTTAAGGCCCGGCCTTATTTTTTAAAGAAGTCTTGATCTAAAGAATTTGTACTATCTGAACTAAAGTACAAACATTGTTTTTCTCAAACATCTCTTAACTTTGGCTATTTAATCACCTACAAAACTCACAAAAACAGATTAACCCTTTGGATGCTATAGTCAGATTTGACATTTATAGCCATTTGGTGCAACAAGCAGATTTACCTCACGGTGTCACAAAAACATTTCCTCATAGTGCAACAATCGGGATACTCATACATCCTTGAATTTCCTGCCTTAATACCACCCATGTGTATATTGCCAAGCAAAAGTGCAACTAGAGGATTTTGATATTGAAAATGTACTAACAAAAATCAAATTCTAAATTTCATATTTTAGTGGATAAATGACTTTTTGAGAACCCAGCCAAAATTTAATTAGGCACTCAAAGGGTTAAGTATCTTATGCACAATCTGTTCACTACTAGCTAAAAGCCAAGTTATTAAAACTTACTTCCAAGACTTCACTGATGTGTGACAGTGCTCGTTCCCATTCTTGTACAACTTTTAGAAAAGGTCCAACAAATCGAGATGCTGACATACTTTGTAGGTTCATACCATTATCATCCAATGCTTGCAACACATCATCAACAGCAGAGAGGATGAAACCTCTCTCTTCCGTGCCTTTCATATATTTAACAATCTCAAATTTCATACTGTCCCAAATTTCTTGAACTTCTTGCACTCCCTTTAAAAAAGATTACCATAAAACTTAATATTATCTTAATTATTCAAAATTGGTATCAACTCTCTCCCTACAGAAGACCTTTCAATCTATTTAAGAGTCAGATTCAGTCTAATATACAATCTAATTCGATATAACTTGTCAAATTTGCTACAAATACACATCTGATAACAACTGAAATTCTATGAAAATAGAACTTTTTAATTAATTCTAACACTTTAGTTACTCTAAACAGGATTATAAAGTTTTAAAAGGTTTACTACAAGATTCTCTTTAATTTTAAATTCTTTAATAATCCAAAGTAAGTTTTCTACTGATAAAATGGAGATTGGATATAATAGAATTATTTTACAGATACATTTACAAGTTTAGTGAATAACTTTGAAGCTGCTTATTACCAGAAATACACACACCTCACGGGTTCATTCACTATCTTAAAAATAGGCATAAAATACCCATTAGTTCTGTAAGCTTGGGGATGCTGCCAAGTTTATTTAATGTAATAGTTGTCTATATGGAATAGAAATTTTTAAAGTTCAAACTAATTAGATTAAAAATTTAATTACTCTTATAGCAAAGCTATTCTCTTTAATTTTAAATTCTTTAATAATCCAAAGTAATTTTTTTACTGATAACATGGAGATTGGACATAATAGAAGTATTTTACAGATACATTTACAAGTTTAGTGCACCAGTTTGAAGATAAAAAAAATTAATGTAATTTTAAGGGATTGGACATTATTGAGTTCAATGGATGTTGGCTCAAATATAGTTTCTAAGCTTTTTATGGTATTATAACATGATGTTATTTGGATCTTAGTGTTGTGTAACCCCTTCAGTAAATGATGTGAAGGTTGACATAATTCAACTATACTTTCATTAAAATATGTAATTCTAATTGTTTAATTTAATTAATTTGGATTATTGTGAAAGGTGCTGAATTATACTGAAATATTACCTACAACATTACAATTAGTTGTCATTAAAAATAAATGATATACATAAACAGATTAAATCATACAAATTAAAAACTTACCTTTTCAATACTAAGCTCCTTTGAAGCACTACCCACAATCTCTCCAATGGTTTCAGAGAAACGATGAAGTTCCATTGCAAACAAGTTACCTAACGTAAACTTTTCGGGATGCATGTCAAATTTCATACCAGTTTTGTCCATCAGCTGTTTCCAATGTCTAATTAAAAAGTAAGAACTACAGGTATAACTATTTCATGTCTTAATGGGTGGAGTAGATACTTAGGCAAATAAAAATCCTTAGAATACTACAAGTAAATATACCAGTTTTGTCCATCAGCTGTTTCCAATGTCTAATTAAAAAGTAAGAACTATAGATATAACTATTTCATGTCTTAATGGGTGGAGTAGATACTTAGGCAAATAAAAATCCTTAGGATACTACAAGTAAAAATATTTTAATAACCATTTTAAAACCTAAGTTAATTGACAACAAAAAAGAACAAAAAAAGGCAATTAAATATAGTCATAGTTTCTGTTATGCAAAAATATTACACACAAAATAGATAGTTACACTGACCTATATTCATCTACTAGTATTATATAATAAGCTAGGTATACACTGACCTATATTCATCTGTTACTATTATATAGTAAGCAACGTACACTGACCTACATTCATTTGCTAGTATGTAAAAATTAATATTTTTTATTTACATTTCTACACAGGTTTACAAGTTAATATTTTACTGTGGTTGCATACCAATATTTATTGCTATGAAATCTGTTTTTACAGAGTCAGCTTTAGGTATTCTGTCACATTAGACCATATTTTACTATGGTTGTACGACAATATTTATTGCTATGAAATCTGTTTTTACAGTCAGCTTTAGGTGTTCTGTCACATTAGACCATCTTTTACTGTGGTTGCACACCAATATTTATTGCTATGAAATCTGTTTTTACAGTCAGCTTTAGGTATTCTGTCACATTAGACCATATCTTACTATGGTTGCACACCAATATTTATTGCTATGAAATCTGTTTTTACAGTCAGCTTTAGGTATTCTGTCACATTAGACCATATCTTACTATGGTTGTACGACAATATTTATTGCTATGAAATCTGTTTTTACAGTCAGCTTTACGTATTCTGCCACATTAGACCATATCTTACTATGGTTGTACGACAATATTTATTGCTATGAAATCTGTTTTTACAGTCAGCTTTAGGTATTCTGTCACATTAGACCATCTTTTACTGTGGTTGCACACCAATATTTATTGCTATGAAATCTGTTTTTACAGTCAGCTTTACGTATTCTGTCACATTAGACCATATCTTACTATGGTTGTACGACAATATTTATTGCTATGAAATCTGTTTTTACAGTCAGCTTTACATATTCTGCCACATTAGACCATATCTTACTATGGTTGTACGACAATATTTATTGCTATGAAATCTGTTTTTACAGTCAGCTTTAGGTATTCTGTCACATTAGACCATATTTTACTATGGTTGTACGACAATATTTATTGCTAAGAAACCTGTTTTTATAGCACCAGATTTAGGTATTTTTCCACACTAGGCAAGATCCTAAAATGCTATCTCAGGTAGAACCCCAGCACCATTATCATCATAAATAAATATATATATGTATAAATTCAAAACTCTATTTAAAAAAACAAAAACCTTCGCACTTTCCGCTCATTATGACTTTCGAATAACGACCAGAAGTGCGAAGGAATTTTGTTGTTTTTTAAATAGTTTTGAATATATATTAAGCTTATTATTGTTTTATAGTGCTGATCTTGATTGCCTACTGATAATTAATGTAATTGATATAATAGTTTTGAAGCTATACCTCTTATTATTATTATATATATATATAATACTGCATGCCCATAATGTCACAATCTACAGTAAACTTTTACTTTAGTAGTCCTACCTGCATCTTACTTTGAAGTATTTAGATTTAAAAGAACTCAATATTTCTTGACTATTTTTTAGCTTCAAAGGTGTGAAGTAATTCTAGTTTCTTGGTTTTTAGTAGAAGCTTATTTTATATTTAAATGAATTATCTTACATTATCTGTGTCATTAAAACACAGAAAAGGATGTAAAGTGAGTGTAAGACACCCAAATCTATCAAAAGTAAAACTGAAATAAAACTTTTATTGATTATTGTTTTACCACCTAATTACTAAATCAGGTCTGTGTTTTTTTATCATCCTAAAATACTGTTAAAAACACAGGGATATTTCTTATATGTACCTTGGCCTTACTGCCTCATGTTTCAAGTCCACATACAGTGGAATAGTATTACGGAACTCTCGTAATTTCTCTTCTAAAATCCGCCCCATTGGCATTTGTTTCACCTCCTTAGGAAGCCTCCGCAGCTCTCTCAGGAATCCTTCTGATCCATCAATTAGTGCTTGGGGATCCAGTTGTGACCAAAGTAGCTGTGACCATTCTTCTTTAGCAGTCTGAAATAGTTAGACCGTACAAAATGGGTAATATTATTAGACAACTGTTATAATGGTGTAAAAGCTTTGACAGGGGTTTAGGTTAAGAGATTCTAATATTGTAAGTTTAGTAATTCTACCATAACTGAAGAAAACATGATTTTTGTTAATTACATCACGAAAACAGATCCCAGATTTAAACTTTTAACAAGTACATTAACCATTAATTAGCCCATGACTGGTTGTAATGATTATGAATGACTGCTACGGTCTGCAGCATGACACATCTTCCATCTTTGATGACATACGAACAAATCTAGTCAACATTATGGCTTTAACTATGTGAGGGGGGGAGGCGTAACTACAGAATTAGATATGTTTTTCATAATATGAAACTTGTTAAACATTTTATGAAACAAAAATTTTGTGCCAAGAAAACTTATAAACCATGAGCAAGTAAATTATAGAGAAAATAAATGATAAAAATGGTATTATTAACCATTAATAACAGTAAAATTATGGGGGAAGGAAAAATACCATCATCTACTGTTAAATTATTATTAACATCTTTGAGATTGAAATTTGAACTGTAACAAAATAAACTATGTGGTACTGATAGCACATAAGCAAATAATTTTATGCATGGTACTTTACCATGTGCCATCTATGCCTTTTTTAACATTTTTCTTGTTACTTAAGGGATAAGTGATAAGATACACAGTACAAACACAATATTTTAGCTAGTATAGGTTATAATGTGTTGCAGCTTTTAAAGTAAAGACACACTGACATGTTATCTTCATAAGGACTAACTTTGCTTAAAAAAAGGTATTGAATAAACAAGTGTACAAATGTATAAATACAGAGATAGAACATTACTAAGTGTCACAGTGTGGCTAGTCATGTTCTATCGGTTCCATAGTATCTCAGCACTTTGATAGAGCCAACCCTGGATCTCTTACGAGTTAAATGAATAAGGGGGTCCCTATATATACACCTATTTTAAATGAGCAACTGTTTAATGCATTTAAGAATGATTCATTTCATCCTCTGAATATCTGTGTTACCCATTAAGCTTTAATCACTTAAATAATGCTAATGACCTGACAATACTGTTTCCAAGGGCTATAAAAAATTCATTTTTTATTACAATAATCATGTGGTATGATGATAAGTTAGTGAAGGTTTTACCTGCTATATATATATATATCCGTGACAATAATAAGGATATTTAGATAGCAATTTATACAATTGTTTGCTCCGAGTCATGTTCTTATAAATTAGATGTGTTCTAATTACTCCAGGTCAATCTTTTTTAGTTATTTACATAACATTGAGTTATAGTTACAAGATAAACAGTATATAGTATATAATATCTGGAACATAAGGAAAATCTTTAAGAGTGGTGCTAATGAACAGTTATCTCTGTTAACATATTACTGGTTGTTACTCTCAGTTTATACATACATTCCTTATCTCTATGTATGGTATCTGATGTAAGTCTAAGGATACATATATTCCTTATCTCTATGTATAGCATCTCATGTAAGTCTAAGGATACATACATTCCTTATCTCTATGTATAGCATCTGATGTAAGTCTAAGAATACATACATTCATTATCTCTATGTATGGTGTCTGATGTAAGTCTAAGGATACATACATTCCTTATCTTTATGTATAGCATCTGATGTAAGTCTAAGGATACATACATTCCTTATCTCTATGTATAGCATCTGATGTAAGTCTAAGGATACATACATTCCTTATCTCTATGTATGGCATCTGATGTAATTCTATGGATATATACATTCCTTATCTCTATGTATAGCATCTGATGTAAGTCTAAGGATGCATACATTCCTTATCTCTATGTATGGCATCTGATGTAATTCTAAGGATACATACATTCCTTATCTACATGTATAGCATCTGATGTAAGTCTAAGGCCAAAATGTTATGCATTAAAATAAAGTTATTGAGTGCGTTCGAAACCAAATGTATATTTTACTTTTCATTCCTTTAAAATTTATTTTTACACCATGTCAGTTTCCACACTGAGAAGAACATTCTCTAAGCTGTATAATTGTGCAAGACATAGTTTACAAGTTGTTTAGTACTGCTACTTACGTATAAAATATCAGGCAATATATCCCGTTAAATGTACCGAGACATACCTACAAGAAAATTACTTGATAATACAAAAGGTTATACATAAATGTGACATTAAAACTGAACTATTAACACAATAAAGATATTACATCACAATATATAAGGTGAAAATTAATGAAAGGAGTAAAACTCAAGATTAACTGTATTTAAATACACATGTAGTAATATTACAGGGATGGCAGCAAAGAGAAGTTGAATTGACTGAAAACTCTCAGGGAGGAGATATATGGGAGATGAACAGTTTTTACACTCTGAAATGGAAACAGAGCCATTATCTAGAGCCTATTGCTCAGAGAACTGTGTTGTTAAAAGATAATATACATCAACTAAGTTATTCATGAGGCCCGGCATGGCCAGGTGGTTAGGGTGCTCGACTCGTAATCTGAGGGTTGCGGGTTCGAATCCCTGTCACACCAAACATGCCAACCTCCTCCTTTGCCTGGTCCCAAGTCTAGGATGAGAAAGGAGGAGGGTTGGGCGTGGGGCTAGCAACTCCACCCCATAAAAACCAACCTGCTACAAGTAACTGCAACAACAACTTCCGTTGGCGAGGTGTTGTTGCGGCCCTATGCTCCACTGGGAGTTTACAGGAATAAAAAAAAAAAGTTATTCATGAAGCAATACTTTGGTTCATGAGATGCAATAAACAGAACTGAGACTCAAGATCTCAGCTTTCAGTATTCTTTATTCTAAATCCAATGGGCAGATTTTCATTGCCCCAGCCTACTACCCCCACCCCTTTTGCAAGTAACACAGACTTGTTACAGTCAAAGTGTTCCATTTAGTAAATTAAAGGTACAACAGCAGTCAATATCACTAGGCACTACTGAAGTAATGATGTATATTTATATTAAAATACTATTAGATCTAGGCTAGGACTTTTGGAGTTGGCTGTATTATTGACATTAAGACCATACAGGCTTACTAAGCATACAGTCTGGTAAGCTTCCTTAGTGCCTAACCTTACTTTGCTTATGATAACATATTTGTTAATGTTAACTTTAGACTGTTTAGTTTTACAACTTACAACTAAGTTACATCTTTACAGGGTAAGTCACTCATAAGTTTAGGCCTATTACAGACAAAACAAAGTGAATCTAGATCGAGTTTGATTACTTTCATGGTTGTGTATGGGAATTACTTTGAAAGGATCATCGTTAATTGGCACATAAACTGTGCATAAAACACTTACAAAAATCTCACATGTTCAACAACAACTCATGTTCACAATGACATGATACATATTTCTCTTCGGAAAACTTCTGATCAATAACATTATTAATATATACATGCTGGCCTTCAATATTTCTAAGTTTTTCCAAAGTTATATATATCGATAAATGTTCGTTTGAATATTTCAAAGTAAGCATACATTGCAGTAGCCGTTCATCCAATAGTTTTGAGTATTGAAATTAAGAAGTCCAATTTTGTATTTTACCAATTTAATATTTTTTGATTGACGGAAATCCGTCCTGAGACAGAACTCTGCTTTCACTAATATCAGATACACTTTGATGTTATAAATATTTTAACAAGAAAGAACTACTATTTGATAATTGAAGCTATAAATAGAAATGTACTCAGAAGAACAAAAGGAAGAGTAATAAAAATGAGCAATATAACATTAATTCATCACATCTCAGATAAGACAAACAAATTTCAAAATAAAACTTAGAAAAGCTGGTAAGCTTTTATTCAAACCTTCTGTGCCTTGTAAATAGCATAAATCTGAGTAAACTCTCCATATCTCTCTGCATTTGGTGAAGCTCAGGAAATGGAGTGACAGGAAGATCAAACAATCGTTCAGCATTAACCAGTTGTTGTCTTCTGGACCCAACCACTTTCAGTTTCTCTTGAAAACTATTTAAAACTTGTAAACCTACAATATAACAACATAATTTTATATGGTAAATAAAAAACATTAAAGTATATAACCGAGAATTATCAGGTTATTACAAAAGACTTTCAACGTCACATGTCAAAGGCTACAAAAAAATCTGGAAACATAATTTCTAACTATCTTCTACACTTTTTTAATATTGTTTATTATTTGAAATCAAATAAATAAAAAAAAACGTTTCATAACAAGAATTCTATTTACACAGAACACCATAAGTTAATTGCACTTTATTAGAATGATGTTCCAGGCCTAGTGCTAAGCTTAATGGGCCTAATTATGCACTACTGACCAACATCACAATTTTTAATGTAAGAAACGTGTGTAAAGTCTACCTAAGATCATAAATCTTAACAGACTTTCCAAAACTCTCCACTATACATGGATGTCTTCTTCTTGATAGGAATTTAGGTTTAAAGAACTTTTAAGCTTTAACAAAATAAAGCTTGAAAGCTAACCTGGAGCATTCAGAAACTGTTGTTTCTCTTCACCCTTCATGGGTGTCAACTCTCAAGACCACATTTATGCAGATCAAGAGAACAACAAACCCATGTAGATACAGCAGAAGATTTGACAGGTGTGAAGTTAAATGAGTTTAGTGTGATTCTAGTTTCTTTGGTCATCTTTCTCAGGAAAATAGCCATTAATTTTGAGGTGTTACTAGAAAACTTGTGTTTGTCTGGTTTAAATTAAATCCAAATTCACATTTATTATGTTTGTAACAGTACCAGGAGAACCACTGAGCTATGTAGCAAAGATTTCATGGAGAACAATGAAGGCTTCCTTTTTTTTAATGGCTCTGGGTTATTTAGTAATTTTGTTATGAAAATATTCTTCTTTAGAAAACGCTGTGCATATTCTTCCTACCACAAGTCTACCTGTGTTGGCATTGCTCTTAACTACTACATGTGTCACCTGTGGTACCACAGTGTGCATCTGTGGTGGCATGGCACTGTTTAGCTAGGGCAAACTGTTCTTACAAAGATTACCTCTCTGTAAATATACTGTAAAACCATTCATGTGATATAATAACACAAATTAATTTTATACAAAAATACTTATAATACACAGCCAATTTGTTGTTTGGACTAATCTTGGATCTACTTGTACTAATACATTGGTCAAAGTTTTGATTTTTATACGACAGTATATTTTCATTTGAATTGTTCAATTTTGCTTTGATAAACGTTTTCAAACATTTTTCACTGGTGAATATTGAAGAGCTTGAAGAAACAAAAACAGCTATGTTACAAGAAATGTTCAAAAGAAACAATCACACTCAAAAACGCTAACAGGTCTACTGTGAATTTTTACACATATTATTAGTGAAGAGCTGATTAGAATACAGAGCAGTGAAGCATTATCTACAAACATTTGTTTCTGTTGTTTAAATTACTAATGACAAAACCATTTCTCTAGAATACTGTTATAGCTCAATTGTAAAAACTGAATTCTTAAACAGAGGTGGAATTGGAAAAATGCTATTAAACTTGTGTGAACAACAACAACAACTGACTACTGACTGTCTAAATAACTACACATTAATATATAAGTTTTTATTTATGTAAGGGTTTAATACGTTATTACCTTTCTCTAGGTTATCTCCAACAGCTCCAGGACCTTCATTAATAAATGTGTTAAATAAGTTCTGAACCTCTTGAGAAAAGTCTTTAACTTCCATTTCTGTTGTCTGAGAAAGATAAAAGAAAATTTTTTAAACAGAAGTAAAACTGATACATATACAAAGCAACATGTTCTTAATAAATATAAACCAGAACAATTATAAAACTTTAATACTGTTGCGTCAGCAGTCACATGACTACAGTGCCGCAACGTTTCTAGAACTATCATGTACTTTGACGAATGTTCAAGTTCTTATAAGAGGGGACAAC